CGAATGAGATAATCATTCAGTTTTCTAGCTTGTGACCCTTTAACCTGATTTTGTTCTCTGTAATTTATGGGTTATGTTTGGACTATGCTGTTGCTTCTTGGACTGTAGGCAATTTTTTTCAGGCAAGGACTCTCTTCTAAGCATTTGAACTACCGTACATTCCTGGTATCTGCTGGTATCAGCTTAACTGCAGTGGCTACAGCTTGGCTGCGTGTGCTTGCCTGCAACCTTGAATCAGGGCACTTATTCTCAGCTTATTAACTGTACTTTCTGCATTGCAATGTTTAATTGGTTTTTCAGTGTGACAGTAGAATAGCTACAGAAAAGCCCCCCTTGGGGTTTAATTGGCGAGTGGGATACCAACGGGATGGCAGGTTCCTAGAAATATGAGTGTATGATGAAGAACAGGGTATTCATATATGTACTACATGCATGCATGTCTTGCACCTTAATGCAAGAATTGTTTCACCATTGAAACAATTTCAAAAATTGTCTTTCATCATGCTATATGAATATGAATGGTAAAAAATTCAGGATAATTCTTCAGCAGGCTCTAAAATTATCTTCTATTGGATGGTAACATCTAGTTATCTGAATTCCCATCCCTTGAGAGTACTCCATAGAACAAATGAAACAGCTCATTATATGACATTATATTATCTAACTATATTAAATACAGGAAGCTCATTATGGATTCACCAATTAAACAACTGCTTGAGGCTCTAGTAGTATCTACATTTCATGCTTCCATTGCCACACGTTTTCCCAGGATAGTTTATTTTTGCAGAAATTTTATTTCAAGTGTTACTGTTTGTCTTTTTAAGTAATAACAAAATACATATTTACTGGTTCCTTTTTTCTTGCAGTAAAATGAAGAGGGATTAAAGGATGAATGATAGTAGCTTGGATTAAAATACAAATGAGAAAAACAGGATTATTTGGTATATTTTTCTTCTACAACATGATCCCCTGTATGCCAAAAGCTCCTTTTTGGAAATTAGGAGATCTTTCTGAAATAACATAAAGCCTGAATGGGATACTTTGTATGAATAAAAGATACATTAGAATGCAAGTAATTTTTAAATGATTATATTATTATCTTCCTTGTAATACATTCAAATATACAGCTTAAAAAACCCTCAAGAATGACATTTGTCAGTTCTTAAAATTTGCTATTTTTATTACACTACTTTATAGTCCTAAAAAGTTCAATAGCAATCCTGGCAAATGCAAGGCATAATAATGATTTTATATGCATACTTATGCCAATGCAAAAATTCATTCCAAGCGGCTTAACTGCAATTTATAAACATAGCCCAAAGATTTCTGCTGTGAAGCATTCCAGTAACAAACATATCAATGCTAGAATGATTCATATAGCCTACATTTCCTTTCGGCTGTTGATACACTAATTTTGTAATTGCAAGTTTGTGGCTCAGATATTACTCCAGATTTATGAAGCGGTTGAACACTTTCATTATGTTGAAAACTAGCAAGGGTCATATCTATTTGTAGCCCTAAATTTAAGTGGAATTGCATTTGGTCCAGCTAAGAAAAATGTCAGGCATAACCAGAAGCATCTTGTCAGCTTCATGCCATGACCCTCAAATAAGGATTATAATACGCTGCAGACCTATATTTTGGGTGATGAAAAGTGAATCAAAAGATGCCTTTTACTGTACCGCATGGATTTCAGATGCATTATTTTAAAATATTTGCTCCCCAAGCAACATACACAGCATTTGCTAGCTGGGGAATTCTGGGAGTTGAAGTCCGGACATCTTCAAGTTGCCAAGGTTGAGAAACACTGTGTTAGATGGTGTTACCTGTCAAACCCATCATTTAGACCAGACTATGAAAATAATTCCACAGGAAGTACTACAACCATTTTTACTGAAATCTTGCTAGTTTCATTGTGCTTCACCTCCTCCCTCTTCAGTTAATTAGGAACAAGAATTTTATCTTGTTCTGGACTTAAAAAAATACTTTAGTCCCTTGGCATAGGCTACAAAATCTTCATAACTCTGCTAAAATCACCTTCCTTATTTTCCACTCACCCTGCTGGGCAAAATATGTTTAGTTGTATCAATAATTACCTTTCTGCTTGACACATTAGGACTGACTATTATCCCTATCTTCTTGATTATGGTTATTTGCCTAAAAATTAGAATGTTAAACTATAATTGTGAAGACTCAGATTCAAATCCTCATACTGATAGCTATTTGATTAAGTAAGTTTTTGTTAATCATTATGTCTCAGCTTATCTTAAGCCACAGAATATTTGTGAGGATAAAATGGACAGATATTTTATTGACCTGCTGGAGGAAGGACAAGTGTAAATGAAATAAATATTGCATTTTTAAAAAGGATAATTGTAGCAATGTCCTATGAGATCGCAGTTGATAAATTTTTTAATGATTTTAGATGTCTATAACAAAATGGCAAAAAAGAAATAAGTGAACACTTCAGGGAGCCAAATATCCTATTTCTTCCCTTTCATAAGGACTGAAGAAGGTGAGACATAAACTAGTTTTTCCTGGACTTGAGCAAACTGTTAACATAGATTAACATAGATCAGCTGTCTTGCAAGATCAAGAGAAAGGTCAGGTACCTATTTTCTTAGAAAGATGGAAAAATAGACTACAATTTGAATCCTAGAGCCCAGATTTATATGTGAACTACAATTTAAAAAAATCTTTGGTGTGTGTGTTTGTGTGTGTGTATCTTTACTGTTAGCTGTGATAAAGGGACAAATCTTGCTGAATCATGTTTGTGAGCTTTTGATGAATAAGCCACACTTAAAACAAGTGGTTAAGTGTGTGGTGAGCTAAGGTTTAAGTTTATGCCATGCTGGTATGAAGACTAATAGCTAGTTTTGCCTGCAGCCATCACTATTGGAGAAAATAGTGCCGAGGGACTAAGAATTAAACAGTAGGTATAAAACTTTTCCAACTGTGCTAATCAACCATGAAGTTGTGAATGACTTGCTCCAAAATCAGAACCAAACTGTGACCCAGATGGGCCAATTTGTCCAAACAATGGATAGCAGGTAGGACAGAATATATCTCTACCAATGGCTCCTCTACTAGTTTTGACTAAAGAACGGCAAATAAATATGACAGGAGGCAATACAATCATTTTAATTCACTTTAACTCATCACAGTTGCTAAATTGGTTACTGCTACTGCATCCTCTTTGCTTGACAAATACAATGGAATCCAAATGATTGAACTGCCTTCTTGCTCAATTTAAACTATTTCCGTTAAAACCAGACAACATCCTCACCAACACAACATGCAAACCATTATTAATTAACCTAATGATATAGAAAGCTAGAAAATGAGCACTTCCCCTTTTGTTTAAATTGAGAACAGCTCAGACTTGGAGAGCTTTATATGCCAAAGTGTCACATCTGAGAACTAACTTCAAGGATTCAATCAAGCAACTGATTGCCAACTGTGAAATTTGTCACCTCTAACAAGATAAGCTTTTATTGTGGGGAAAATCTTGCTGCGTTTTGGCTGTTAGATTCAAATGTGGGCTGGAATGAAAAAGGATTAAATTACTAATTTACAGAAAGGCAAAACATGTGGGAGATCAAATCTTTGTATCCCAAGTGACCTGAGAAATAATGAAATGGTGCACCATTGGACTTTTTGTCTTTTTAAAGGCTGGAGGAAACTTGATAGCTTAGGGCAGTGTTTCTCAACCTTGGCAACTTGAAGATGTCTGGACTGCATTAGCTGGCTGGGGAATTTTGGGAGTTGAAGTCCGGACATCTTCAAGTTGCCAAGGTTGAGAAACACTGGCTTAGGGAAACATAAGTTTAAAAAAACATGTTTCTGCTAGGTCTCAAGCCAGCAACCTTCCATTTACCATTGTGTTGCTATAGTATTATTGGAAACCTAATGACTAGAAGGATTCATTCAAGACAATGATAACCATTGATTCAGTTGAGGGGATACTCATCTTTCTGTGTAATAATCAATGCATTGCTGAAGTTAACCAGAGATGGTATTCAACAGGTACTGACCAGTTCTGGAGAACCGGTAGTGGAAATTTTGCGTAGTTCAGAGAACTGGTAAATACCACCTCTGACTGCCCCTGCCCCCATCTATTCTCTGCCTCCTGATTCCCATCTGTTTGGGAGGGAATGGGGATTTTACAGTATCCTTCCCCTGGAGTGGGGAGGGAATGGAGATTTTACAGCAATCTTCTCCTGCCAACCCACACCCACCAAACCATACCCACCAAGCCACGCCCACCAAGCCACACCCACAGAACCGGTAGTAAAAAAAATTGAATCCCACCACTGAAGTTAATCTATAATAAAGTAAAATCCAGATGGGTATGAATGTTCAAAATGATCTAAGAAGAAAAAGAGTACTTTAAAAGGATACCAGGAGATAATACCTGGGGGATGCAAATGTAGCATGAAGGGAGTGACTCCAAAGTGAGGTCACCAGTTCTTGCCCTTCAGAAATGGCTTGCTGATCCATTCTCATCCTGGAATAACTGTTCAGGGTGCATGTGCTCTAAGATACCCAAAATTTATTCCTTTTTTGTTGTTAATTTAGCAGATAAATAAATATTGTTGCATGGTATGTGATTTGATCTATGAATGAGGCTTTAAAACAGATGTGGGCAATTTTAAAAAATTGTGTGATTGCCAAAACTCTAAGGTTTACATAAACGTTCATAAACAGCTTTAACAGAGTCTTAAGGAGAAGTAAAAATTGCAACTCTACACTGCAAACCCAGGGAAAAGAAGACGAAAAAAATTATGTTCCTGCCCATGGATAATACACCTGTGCTGCTTCCTCCTTTTGAATCAGGCAACCTCCAAACACTAGGTGTGATCTATACCATACAATATTGTCCACCTCTGCTTTAGAGATTTAAATTTTCATTGACAGTTTTTTTGACAACTAAAATAAAAGAACACAAGACTAAGATATCTCACTTAACACAAAAAAAGAATAATAAAATAGTCACTTACCTAGCACGAGGGTTTGAACCAAAGGTTTTCACTGGAGTCCAACAGTGAGACACTAAATGCCAACATGAAATATTAGAATGACAAGAATAGTTCCAAGATGCTATGAGCTATAATGAACAGGAGTGCTGAGATATTGTAAAACATTTATAAATGTTTGAAAACATGACATAGGGAGCAAAAATCATACAAAACTACTTCTCATAGAAATTTCCCTGGTAGTTTCCTATAAATAGTTATGGAACACATTTAACATGATTGGCTGATAGCATATACAGGAATATATAGCTAGACTCATTTTTAGGCTGAATAAAGTAGAATTTAATTAAATGGATCAACACATTTGCTATAAGTAAGATAAACTCTTACCAATTTATAGATGTAGCAAGTAATAATGGGCTCTATGCTAACCTGTACTGCAGGTTGACAGAAATAAGAAATCAAGTGGTTATAGTTTAATTTTATTTATTTATTTGTATGTATCTTTACGTTATTTATATCTGCCTTTGTTACTTTTACAGATTTGCCAAACATATCCAAACCCTTCCACATCCTATTTTCCTCACAACAGCAGCCTTGTGAGTTGAGTTGGGCTGAGAGAGTAAGTGACTGGCCCAAGGTCACATCTGGCTTTCATGGCTAAGGTGAGGCTTGAACTCATGGTCTCCCACTTTCTAGCCTGGTGCCTTAACCACTATAGTAGGGGTCAGCAACCCATGGCTCTGGAGCCACATGTGGCTCTTTCATACGTCTGCTGTGGCTCCTTGTCGCTGGTTGGCTCCACAATTGATAGGGCTTTCAGGAGAGTGTTGCTCTTTGAGTGTTTAAGGTTGCCAACCCCTGCACTAGACCAAACTGGCATTTCTATCTGCATTTGTTTTATGAACATATGCTGCATTCTGGAGTGCTGACATACAGCAAACTACCTTGTCCTGTGAAGATATAGTTGCACCTACCTGTATTGAATGTATAGAGATCATCCACTGCTTTACTATCTTCCATGCCACCATACACAAAGATGTTTTCGCCTACCACAGCTGAACTGTGTTCAAGAGTTTGAGGAGCAAGACCACTGGTTGTGATTTTCTGCCAAGTTAGAGAATCTTAAGATAAGGGTGGGGGAGAAGAAAAAGAAATTACTCTCTTATTTTGAAGTTGGCTTGGGCAGAAGCCACTTTCTCATTCTGCTTTTCTCAAAGAATACAATCACTGGAAGAAATTCTATAGAGCAGACTATTCTTTACCTCCCCATATGTCTTCTGCAAATGACTGTTTTAAAAGCTGGATCCTTTCACTGACAATTAATTTTTTTAGGTAAACAGCTGCTCTTTAATTCAGAGCTCTCAATTAAGACTGTGTCAAGCATCAGTGAAAGGCTGCTTCACTTTCAACCAGGCTTTTGATGGAGTTACCCTTTTGAAGCTGCTTTGTAAAAGAATGTGTCTATCCACCCCTCCCTCCTTCTAAATCCTCCCACTGAAGTCCTTTGAGTTTTTGAAGGTATCAAAGGGTCAAGGACAAGAATGGATAGCATTTCCTCTAGGCAAATTAGGGTTGCCTGATTTATTATATGAATGGTGTCAATGAGGAGGTCTGGGGAATGTCTAAGTTATAGGCAGGCATATTATATATTATTTCTTTCTTGAGTGCCACAGAAAGCAGGATTGCTGAATGTGAAGGTACGGAGAAAATAGGAGGACCAGGAAGAGAAATTTCTGGGACTATGGACTCCTTTGGAGAAATCTTGGGATTCTATGCTCAGTTAGACTGTTTTGTTTTATGACTGTATATGTCACTTTGTGCCCTCTACCATCCATGGTGCCATGATGAAACTCATAACATAACATGCTCTCAAACTGTGTCTCGTGAATAAAAACATTGGGGGGGGGGGAGCGGCTCCATTCAGCTGTCATCATTATCGCTTGCATAAGTTTTTAATTTTTTTCCTTTGAAATACATCCACAAATATACATTCTTGTAAGTACTAGTAACTTTATCTATTAACTATTAACATTTATCACTATCTTCTTACAAATATAGAAAACACAGTTGGGGGTCACTTCCTTGCCACCCCATATCTCCATCTTGTTTTACAACGACCCTACTCTTTCCATCTTCTCAAGCTCCCTTTCTGCCTTCTTCTTTCCTCCTCTCCTTCTTTTCTTCTTCCCCTTTCTTTCCTCCACTCCTCCTCTCTTCAGCTGTCATTATCATTGTCATCATCACCACCAGTGGTGGGTTACGGTCCCCGTCGCTACTGGTATGCTGAGCATGGGGCCGGGCGTCCTAGTCGTAGTCGATCAGTAGTCGGTGATCAGTAGTCGGAACCCACTACTGATCACCACCACCCATGCAAATAGTTCTATATATTTTTTAAAAAGCATTAATATTTAAACAAGTCTTTTTTTTTACATTTTAAATACTAATTTTCCAATTATCAGTAGAAAATTATCTTGTTGAAATTTGGCACTAAAATGGTTCTGGAGCTGCAAAAGAAGAATCTGAAAGACACATGCAGTTGATGGACCATAAATGCCTCATCCTCCTATCATGTTGCATCTATTTATCATGTTGTATAGTGGCCATCTATTTCCTTACAGAGAGGATAAAGACATTGAAGCTCATTTTTAACCTCAAGCACCTTGTGTTTTGGAACTGCAATGTATAAACAGTGCAGGAATTACTTGTAAATAATCTGACTTGAAATTTTAGTTGTGAAATACAGGGTTTGGCTTCATGATTACCGTATTTTCACCCATATAACCCGCCCACGCAAATAACCCGCCCACGCATATAACCCGCGGGTTTTCCGGATCGTGTAAAATAT